GCTTCTAAGGCCCCCAAAGAAATCTACACAGAAATAAGTGATGACTTAGTAACATCACATATCTCACGCAGTCACACAATGCCAAGCAAGCAGCGGGAATCAATGTCCACATTTGCAAAGGATGGGATTTAGTGCTTAGCTTCAAAAGTCAAGCCGTGAGTCTGAGATCAGAGGCACAAGAGGAGACCCAGTGAAGACTTGATGAGCCAGAAATGGGGAGCAGGGAGGGGCTCAAGAATTCCATAATCAGGTTGCTAGAGGTTTCTTCAGCGTTCATCAGCATTAATGGGTCCTCAGAGGTTCCTAATAAGCAAGGCCTTTGTCTTTTGCTCCCAGTTTTCCTACGTAAGGTGTCTTAAATATTTAAGAGCAGCATTACAACAGCAAAAATGCAAAGGAGGAAGAGTAGGTTTGGGTTATGCACGGTTTCCTACCTTTGATGATAAGCATCAGACCGTTTATAAATGCCAATAGGAAGTAATAGATATGTAGAGTGCCTTATATAAGGCAACTGTGTGTCATTCCAGAAATGGGGACAGGAGGACAGTGCTAATCAAGCCTCACCGGTGGTATGGAGCTTTCTGACTCACAACCCGCCCCAACAGCATCAAACAGCTAAGCCTTCCTCGGCCCTGGCTAATGTCAAATGCCGCCACAGTTCCTGTGTACCGGCTTTCCCCTCGTAAAGGGCAAAGCTACGCTGCAAAACGGGGGACGAATTATGTTCAGTTCTTGCCAAACACAGCCTGTTCTCTGGAGGGTAAAATGGAGGTCCTGGATGAGCTGGGCATTAAGGCATGTGGCCCACGTTCTTCATCCTCCCCCCCAACAAATCCCTGCTCATCAGTCGCAAAGGAATTTGCTCCTCCATCACTGCAACTTGCTGGAAATACAAAGGGGAGAAGGACCACTCATTTCCTGATTGTGCTCTGATTCTGCTAAGAGGCCCACGAGCTTCTAATCGATCTGCAAAGAGCAAAATGATCTCATCTGTAAGAAAATTCAGGAGGCTCTGCTGAACATGAAGCAGAATAAGTGGGTCTCTCCACTTCAATCGTAACTACAAACATTTCCAATTTCCTCTGAGAGGATGTTTCTACATCTCTCTTCCAGGGCCTGAAGGTAATCTGTCAGATTATTCTGGTGAGCTTCTGCTGGGAGGGCCAAACAGGAAGGAAATGCTCTGGCTCACATCTTTCTGGGGTACAGAAGGGTCTTGGGACTGCCCTGGATCTGACTCAGGGCACTGCCATCCCCATGTTCATACTCATGCAAGTCGGCACCAGGGAGTTTCACCAAGAAGGAAAATGGGGCCTCAGGCAAAGGCTATGCAGGTTAGATGTTAGACAGGCACAGCTTGAGGGATTCCAGGGCTCATATGCAGGAAAGGGTACAGTAAATCACAGCTCCCCTCCCCCTACAAAATGGGATCACCATCCACCAGGGGCTCCCAAATGCCAGTGTGGCAAAATCAGAAGGATCAGGGAAACCTTTCAGACATACAGATTTCTGGGCAATGTGGACTAAACATGGGGGGCGGGGGCAGGGGACAGATAGAGGGATGAGGCCGCTGGTAATCTGTGCTCTTAAAAGGCTTCCCAGGAGACTGCCGGCCTCGGGATTCTGTGCTGGTGACCTCTAAGGTCTACAGAGCTAGAAAGCTCTGCTCACTGAGGGAGAAGGGTCTCCCCCCTTGTCCCAGGAAGGTTTCTGACAGAGCAGCACAGCACAGTACTCCAAAGCATCTGGTCTCTGTTTAATCAGGGGAGAGCAGGCGAGGGGCGGCTGTGCACCTTCAGACTCCAGAGTGAGCACCAACCTCTCTGCCAGGGAAGGGGCCTGGACCAGAATGAACTTGCCAGAAGATTAGTGGCAAGCCCGTGAGTGCAGAAAATTGACATCCGGGAAGACTGCAGGTGGGGAGGTCCGGGTGCATGGAGTGGAGTCAGGTAAAGCCCAATGTCTTAGCCTGTAGGCTGCCCTGCCTCTTTGATGAAGGGCAAGACGCTTGCTCTCACTTGCCTCCTCTGTAAAACTAGGGACAGTCACTCTCACTACTTCAGAGCAATGTGGGAGGATCAACTCTAAAATGACAGAGTACAAGACTCAATGAAACAGAGTTGTAGTCACTTCCTTTCCATGAAAGCCACTCCTTTCCCAGCAAGGTTAGACCGTAAACACCCAGAAGCTGCCGTCCCCAAAAAACGGCTTCCTCTTTATCAACTGATGGCATCTCCTCCTGAAAATAAGGATGCTTGAAAGGTCCTCTTAGCTCATCTCCCCCCAAAACACCCTTTGTTTTACACCAGGACCCTTTTTACTACGAAGTAAGAAGCCAATTTCCAATATGAAACAGTACTGAAGATTTTCCATTGTATTTAGTCTGGAGAAAAAGTGTCATTCGTGTAAGAGAATCTGAATTAATCACCCAGATGTTCTGTGTATTATCAAAGCACAGGTATGAGAACAATGAAGGTCAAGGAGCTAAGAAACTGAATGTCAGTTTTCTCAAGTTTTGTGCCATGCGGACAAATCTCGAGTAGTTAATTTGGTAAAGAGAACTCATTTCTTGAGTTATCATATCCAGTCATTACCATCCAAATAATCACAGCACAGAGGTCAGCCACCCAGTACGTGGTGGCCTAGAGGACACAAAGACAATGAAGTAGTCCAGCCTGCATGCTTCACATAAAATTTCATAAAAATTCAAGACACTTCTACCTTCTTCTGAACAGATACCCTGCCTCTTAGGACTTTCTGGTGTAGTTCTCTTTGCTATTGGTACTGAGTGACCTTTGGAGACACACTTTAATTGTCTAGGTTTCTTTGTCAGTAAAACAAAGAGATTGAGCTAAGAGATCTTCATGGGCCTTTCGACTTTAAAATTCTGACTTAATTTTCAAATCCCCTTTTCCAGGGTCAGACTTCTGATTTAGTAGCCATATTTTCTATTTGTTAAGAATGATAGGGGCGCCCAGGTGGCTCAGTCGGTTAAGCGTCTGACTCTTGGTTTCGGCTCAGGTCATGATCTCGTGGTTTCATGGGTTCGCTTGGGATTCTCTGTCTTCCTCTCTCTCTGAGAGTCTGAGACTCTGTCTCTGTCTCTCTTATTTATTTATAAATAAGTAAACTTAAGAAAAAAAAAGAATTCTAGTAATTCTGGGGTGCCTAGCAGGTTGTCGGTAGAGCATGTGACTCTTGATCTCAAGGTTGTGTGTTTGAACCCTATGTTGGGTATAGATTACTTAAAAATAAAATCTTTAAAAAAAAGAAAGAAAGTAAGTTACTTAACCTGTTTTTTCCCCTTTAAAAAGAGTTTATGAAACCACAGCCTAACCAACTCACTGGATGGGTACACAAAGATCTCAACTTGCTGGGTGAGTCTCATGCTAAAAACAAAGTGTTGGCATTCTGGGTTTACACTGCACTTAACAGTGGCTATGTTCAAACTTGACCTTCACTTACAACAAAGGGTATGGCAGATTCTGACAGTCCCCGTCTCTATAGGAAGGAGGCCTCAAACTGATAGTTTTACACCACACCAAAGGTCGACATCCATGTAGACTGCAGTAACAGGGCTGGTTTGAAATGTGCTTTAGTTTCACCCAATAATGGGCTGAGCAGGCATACAAAAAAGTATATATGATTATACCCATCCCAGCTAATTACATACTCTTGTACTAATTTTCCAGATATAAACATACAATTCAACTCTTATAAACGGAAGTTGCTGAATGTCCCTACGTCTCACTGTTGGGCACCAGATTTTTATCAATGTTTGTCATTTAGAAATGAAAGTGGATGATGCAAATATTTCTTCTAAAATAATTATAAAGCATTTTTAATTTTGTGAATTTTTAAATCTTCAAAACAACTGACCAGCTCTTTATGGCTTTTTAAAATTTTGCCCAGACAGTATATCATTACCCTTTCTTTAAGTGTATTTCTTTTTGCCAAGACTTTTATTTTGAAAAAGCACAAATCTGTGGAATATTGGAAGAGTAACACACTCAGTTGTAATTTTTTAAGTTAACAGATTGATCCCAACTTTCTATTTCCAAATTTTCATGCTCCTAAGGACTAAAGAGTTTATATTTCTGCATATATGTAAATAAGGTATACTGCATTCACGAAAGTATTTCTGTATTTGTTGTGTATCTACTGGAAACAAATCCTAAGTATTTTAATACCATAACAAGGAAGGGAATGTATGCCATTAAAAAAAACAAAAACAAAAACCATTTTCTTTCACGCCAGCGTGAGGCAATGTCCTAAGGCAATGGTCAACCATGGGACAGTCTCACATCTTTAGTTCAGAAATTGCCTGGCAGAAGAACGCCTTGTTTTTCAACAAATCATACTAAAATATATTATTGAAAATCGTTTCAAAGAAGAAAACAATTTTAATTTCAGATATAAAAACGGGGGAGTATATTTACATCAGTTCCCTGAGTCACTCTGTGCCTGAGCCAGTTAAGATGCCCCTCGAGCAAGTTGAGGAATTTTAGGAGACAAAACACCTGCGAGACCACCCCCAAGCTGGCGAGTGGGCCCCCTCGCCGGCGTCCGCCGCAGCGCGGACCGCAGGGAAACCGGGACCTCCGCCCCGGCGGGCGGCGGCAGAGGAGGCGGCGGGGCCTGGCCCGGGCCTCCAGAGGTGACCAGGCCAGCCGCCCCTCCGGAGCCCGGGCCCGCTCCAGCCACCCGGTCCTCGCTCCCTCGGATCCGGCCGGTGGACGGCACCTGGCGCCACTGCGCGGGTCGCACTTCCCGGGAACCAGACGCAGAGGAGGGGGGAAACATTTCCTCCCCTCCGGGGCCTCCCTCTCGCCCCGACGCCGGCCAAGGGCGGGCCGGAGCGGGAGCTCGTCGGGGCACAGCAGGCCGAGCCCGGGCGCGGGCGTCCACCCGCAGGTGCGCTCCGGGACCCCGCAACCCGGCCGGGTGCAGCGGTCCCCGCCGCTCGCCGTCGAGGGGGGGCGCCGAGCGGGCCGGCTCACCTTGGGGCCCTCGGGGGGCACGCGCGGGTCGTTCCACGTCGTGGTGCGGCTGTTGTGGTCCACGAAGAAGGGCCAGCCGGTCTGTGGGTCGATCTTGATTTCCCAGCCGGGGGGCAGGGGGTCGCGGTCGCCGGCGCCGCTGCCGGACGCCATCTGCACCATGGGCGAGTGGGTGGCAGCGCTCATGTTGGGTTGGGGTCGGCCCGAAGGGGCGGCCGCCGGGGTGTCGGGTCGCGGGGTGCCTGGTCGTGGGGTGCCGGGCCTCCAGGCGCGGAGTCGCTCGCTGACTGCGGCCGGCTCGAGAGCGGTGCGCGCCGCCGACGTGTCCGGGAAGCCGGCGCCGGGCACCTTTATGAATTAAAGGAGGGGGTGACGTGGCCCGAGAGGGGTGGAAGTGTCTGGAAATAGCCTCCTCGCTGCCAACGGGGAAGGAGATAAAGGGAGGTAGCAACTGGCCGGCTAGAAACTTCTGGTCCCATCCAGAGAAGTTGGCGGCGAGCGGGTTGGATGCGGAGCTCCGCCCTGAGTCATCGGCTATAATCGGGGCGGGGCGGGGCATGGGCGGGGCCTCTGCCGACCGCCCCTCCCCCACTCCTTCCTCCTCCTCCCCTTCCTCTCCCTCCTCCGTCCCCTCCTCCTCCCCTCCACCTTGGCCCTGCCGCCCGCGCGGGTGTCCCCGGGCAGAGACTGGCCGGCGGGGCAGGCAGCCTCAGGGGCGTCGTCGGTGTGCGCTGGGCTGGTTTCGGTTTTCAGACTCTCTCTCTCAGCCTGGAGCCGAGTGGGTGTTCCCTGGACTGGGACTCGCCTTGCTGGGTGCCTGCTGCCGCTCCTTCCTATAAAAACAAAGTCATCGTGGGCCTTTAAAGTTGTTTTAAACTAGAGTCTCGCCCACCCCCTGCTTTGCTCCCTTATATGCTGATACTCGGGGACACTGGCGTCTCAATTACGTTTTAATCACTTTTTTTCCAAGGGCTTAAGGAGCTCTGGAATGTAGATCTGACACCATAACAAAGCCTGGGAGAAAATAGAAGTGCAAACAGAAACTCACCTGGCTTCTTTTGAAGCCTAAAGAAAGATTGCATCAACTGTGGTTTTATGCTCCCAAACTTTGCATCTCAAATGTACAAACTATTATTGCAATGAACAACGTTAAAGAAAAATCACATTGTTTTGGGCGTGGATCTTTTTTATGGTAGAGTTTGGTTCTTGCTATCTTCAATCTTCACCTTTCATTTGGGAGGTAGGGACCAAATCCAATCATGAAAAATCGTTTGGTTGCTTCAGTGCTGGCGGTTTTTGTGAACTAAACCAAGCAATTCCCTGGGAGGGAATGTGCTCCCACAGGGAGAATTTGGGGAAAGTTCCGTTTCAGATTTTTTTTTTTTAATTTTTTAAATGTTTATTTAGTTTTGAAAGAGAGAGAGACAGTGCACTCACGCAAGCGGGGGAGGGGCAGAGAGAGAGAGAGGTAGACACAGAGTCCAAAGCAGACTTCAGGCTCTGAGCTGTCAGCACAGAGCTGGTCACAGAGCTCGAACCCACAAACCGTGGCACTATGACCTGAGTGGAAGTCTGACACTCAACCAACTGAGCCACCTAGGCGACCCCGTTTCAGATTCTTAGGCAGACCCATCCCCCTCCCCAGAAATATTTGGAGAAGTTGCTCTCATTAAAAAGAAAACCACAGGCGCAAAATGACATTGTTTGGGCCAAGTCACCAAACCAGGGTTTAATGCCTAACCTAATTTCAGTTTCAACGTTCCCCCAGAAATATAAGCCTAAACCTGTCAATCAGGAATTTTCTGATAAGCACAATGAAGCAATCTGTCACTTGGGGCTTCTCTGTCCCTCAAAGATGAAGTCATCTGAATCATAAGACCCCCCCTGCCTTTCCTCCTATGGGAAGATGATCATGTCTGAAATAGTATTTTTTTTTTTTTTTTTTTTTTTGCTTCTTTCTTGCCCCACCCTCCTTCTTATAAAAACTTTCCATTTTGTACAACTCCTCAAAGCATCTCTATATTTGCTAGATGGGATGTTGCCTGATTCATGAATCTTTTAAATTTTTTTTTTCAACGTTTATTTATTTTTGGGACAGAGAGAGACAGAGCATGAACGGGGGAGGGGCAGAGAGAGAGGGAGACACAGAACCGGAAACAGGCTCCAGGCTCCGAGCCATCAGCCCAGAGCCCGACGCGGGGCTCGAACTCACGGACCGCGAGATCGTGACCTGGCTGAAGTCGGACGCTTAACCGACTGCGCCACCCAGGCGCCCCATGAATCTTTTAATAAAGTCAATCAGCTCTTCAAATTTACTTGGTTGAGTTTTGTTTTTTATCACTTGGGGCTAATATTGGGCCTAATTTTTCTTTTTCTTTTCTTTTCTTTTTTTTTCGGGCCTAATTTTTCAACTCGAATTCAGAGAAGATCCTGGAATCTCTCTCCCTGCCTCAAATTACTCCTTTTGGGACAAAGTCAAGAGAGGCCTCCTGATCATTTCCAATGGAATGATTCCCACTTGCATGGGTCTGGTTGGCAGCTTTGAAATCCAAAACCCAGTTTTGTGAAAACTCCGAAGTGAGTAAGGCCCAGGGACTGACTCAAGTCACCAAACACATAAGAGATGAATGTATAAACCCAAATGCCAGTGCATCAGTTTACCGTACGAAATATCACTATTGAAGGAGCTGGACCCTCAAGTTTACTGGTCAGTGTCTACTTTATCCTTATATTCGAAGCTTTCAGCACAGGGCTGGGCTCAGAGTTTAATAAATATTGATGTTTATTGAAGATTGAATCCAAAGTGAATTTAAAGTGAGTTTGTATTTCTTTTTCCTTGGCTCAATTTGCTTTCCATTACAGTGACAGTTTAAACACTGAGAGCATTATTTACTGGCTTTGTTGTTGTTGTTGTTGTTGTTGTTGTTGTTGTTAAGTAAGAAGCAGAGAGGAAGCAGTTTTCCTCCTAATTTAGTTGTTTCTGAGACTTGTACTCCATCAGGGGCTTCAAATGGGTTTGTCTAAAATGGAGCCATAGGTCTTGGTGAGCCGGCTCAAAGAAGCTCCCAAATCATTCCAAATGGCAAGGAGTTTGTCCATGGTGGCGTTTTTTCCCCCTAGATGTTAGGACATTAGTTCCCCAGTTTCTATAGACTGAATCTTTGTGTTCCTCCAAAATTCATATGTTGAAACCTATTTCCCAATGTGATGCTATTTGGAGGTGGGCCTTTGGGAAATGATTAGGTCATGAAGGGGAAACTCTCATAGATGGGGTTAGTAGGTTAGTACACTTATAAAGGAGACCCCAGAGGCACACCTTGGTGGCTCAGTCAGTTATGCATCCAACTTTGGCTCAGGTTATGATATCACGGTTCGTGGGTTTGAGCCCCGCATCAGGCTCTGCACTGACAGTATGGAGCCTGCTTGGTATTTCTCTCTCTCTCTCTCTCTCTCTCTCTCTCTCTCAAAACAAATAAATAAACTTTAAAGAGAGAGAGAGAAAGACCCTAGAGAGCTCCCTGCTCCTCTGTCAGCACAAAAGGACTGAGTGAGAAGGTGGCTGTCTATGAACCAGGCACCAGCTCTGCTGACGCCTTGATCTTAGACTTCTCATCCTCCAGAACGGTGAGAAATAAATTTTCTGTTCGTTATAAGCCACCCAGTCTCTGGTATTCTGTTATAACAGCCTGAATGGACTAAGACACCAGGGCTTCTGTGGATTGCCCAGGTCAGAAGCTTAAGCAATGTTCCTCTTGCTCTCTTACCACCCGGTCATCACCAAACCTGTAGATTCCACCTCCTCAATATCCCTTGACTCTGTGCAATATTTCCTCAGTACCACCAGTATGGCCCAGGTCACCCTAATCTCTCATCTGGACCCAGTCGGTGGCCTCTCATTTTGTCCAGGCCCAATCCCTTGCCCACATGGCAGCCGGGGTGATCTTGTTCAAGCACGAATGGACCATGTGCTTCCTCTGATTAGCATGATCTCATGGCTCCCATTGCCATCTCTGTATCCACGTCCACATTCCTTGGCCTGGTACACACAAACCTCTGGCCGAGCTGAACCGTACCAGGCACACGCTTCCCTCATCTGCACACGCTGCTTGCTCCACCTTCTTCCCCACCCCCAGCACCTGCAAGTCCCTTGCCTGGCTGACTCCTCTTCGTCTCCAGGTATCACCGTTGGCATCACTCTTCCTTCCCTCTCCCTGTCTGGGTCATGTGTCCCTTCCACATGCTTTTCTACGAGTCCTGTGCTGCCCTACCAAGCACACTGTGCCGCAAATGCTTATTTGCTGGTCTGGTCTGCCTGTGGATTGAGTTTCTGGAGGGCAGAAGCAGAATCCTAATAGCCACTGTGTCCCAGCCTCTGGTACAGTGCCTGGCAAATAACAGTTACAAAAACAACAGTAAATGTAATGGCTGCCACTTACTAAGTATTTACTGCAGGCCGGTCGTGGCGTTACGAGCTTCGTGTGGGTCATCTCATCTAACGTTTGTTGGGGAGGCTGCAGTCCCCTTTCAGGAATGAAGAACGTATTCCCCCCGATGCTGAGAATACTACAGGAAGACGGATCTCATTTGTCCTTTGGGGACTGGCTTAGCTGACGAAAACTGCATCCAGGGACTGATCTACTGAGGGGCTGTAGGTCCCTGCCCTTTTTGGTTCAACTCAGGGTAGGGCTAACAAGCTCTCCCATTTCCAGAGTGTTCTCTGGGTTTCTTGCCACTTTCCTTGGGACTGCATCAGAGCTCAGCTCTCTCTGCCCATTCCTGCTTCCCGCTCTCCCTTTTACAGGGGTTGCTCTTAAAAGGACTCCCTCAAGAAGCCCTGCTTGCTACCTTCTGTCTCAGTCTGCTTCAGAGGAACCAAACCTGGAACAGGCCTCTCCACAGCCCTACGGGAGGGTATTATTATGATTCTCCCCTTTGCAGATGAAGCAGTTAAGGTTTAGAGCTGCTTATGTAAGTTGCTCAGTGTCACAAAGCTCATGATTTGTAAAGGTGGGGTTTGAATTCAGGCAGTTGATTCTAGAGCCCAAGCTACTAACCAGGCACTCAGTAAATATAAGTGGATCATGGCTTAGACCTACCAGTCACCAAGGAAAACATTTAAAAAGCTACAATTCAGAAATAAAGTTTTTCTCAGTGCTGAGAAAACAAGAACAGCAACCAGCCTGCTGTGGCAGAGCACAAGTCAGGCCCCTGGATGACCGGGCCGGGCCGGGCCGGGCCTGCCTGACTCACGGCACAGGTCACGGAGGGTAGACTCACGGCTGGCTATAAGGGTGAGTTCCAAATGCAAATGTCACCTAGAAGATTTCAGTGTCTGAACAATTTAATCCATTTCTAATGGAACACATGGGCCGGCATAAGAGAACAGCCAGTTCTCCCTGATCTGTGCAGTGCTGATCATCCCAGATCATTTTTGTTGGCTGTTGGGATGTTATCAGAAATCAACTCATGCAGCCACGCACAGCTTCACCAGTCAACCCCTCCCAGTGTGACCCTTCTGCTGTGGGCAGCCTAGACGA